AGATAGGTTAAAAATCAGAATTCAGACAGTTTTCTCTCTTAAAGACCAATTTTGCCAATGATGTCAGTTTGGGAATTTCCAGGGACTGCTCTGCAAGTCCTCTCTCCTAAGTCAGTATGGCTGTGAAGGACACCCTCTGCTGCTATACCAAATTATCTCTGCAAGGCTGGGCTTTGGCCATATGAAACTTAGAACCCAGAAAGAGATTAACAAGCAGGAACAGAACAATTCCTGAACCAGCAAAGCATTTCTCTCTTGGACATGGAATTACAAAAGGCTCAGCAATTAACTACAAAGAGAAGCAATAAAAAAGTGCCTCTACATGCTTAAATTCCCAGTTTAGAAGACAGGTTTTCAAAGCAGGGTGTGACAAGCCTGTGTGAAGCATGCCAGTGACTGGGCTGTTCATGGTTTTGTTTTGCAGTCATTACCAATTCACAGATATTTATTATTTTCAGCAGAGACCATGTGGTAGCACATACTACAGCAGTCACTCCTCAATATTCATCTCCACCTGGGCTAAAGGCATTTTGTGCAATATTATGGAACTTTCTCCTCTGTGATTTTTCTTTTAGGACACATTGTGTTTTACAGCATTGTCTGTGTGCTTAAAGTGAAGGGAAAATTGAATTCCATTAAAGTTGTCTGGCAAAACCTCAATCCACAACTTCCTTTTGAGTGTTATTGCATATTTCAAACTCAGCTGCTTCACCTGCACATCTGAAATCTTAGAATTCATCAAAACCCCCACTACCCCTCCATCACACCAAAACTTCCATCTTCTATTTCCTCCCTCCTGCTGCTGCTAAGTCTCCTGATGAATACTGACCAAAAAATCACCTGGAGATCTTCAATGAAAAGCACAGATTGAAAAGGGTGGCAGAACAATGCTATTAAATTAAGCACTAGACAACACTTATTTTCCCACTGCTGCCCCAAACAGGGGTCGGAACTAGACTGTCTCCACGTTCCCCTTCCACCCCAAACCATTCCGTGATTGTGAAATCTGCCAAGGAACATGGTGCCGTTATCCTCCCGTCACTGTCACTGCTCCAGCCGGGAATGCTGCACCAGAACGGTGGAAAACAAGCGGGACACGAGGCAGCTGCTGGCAGGGACAACGCCTGGACACGAACGCGGCCCGAGCTCCCCAGGGCCCGAACGCGGCAGAAGCAGCCCCCTCCCACATGCACGGCCTCCCCCGCTCCCAGGGGAGCTGGAGGGTGGGCGAGTGCCCAGCCCGGGGCCCCCAGGCTGCCGCCCGCAGCAGCCCCAGGCCCAGCCCTGCGCCACTCACACCGCACCCCAACCCGCTGTGCTGCGCCGCCGGGGGCTGTCCGCTTACCAAGCCGCCGCCACCCGCGTCCGCCACATGGTAAGGGCCGGGGGGGAGCGGAGCGGCCCGGGGGGAGCGGAGCGGAGCGGCCCGGGAGCCGCAGGAGCGCGGCCGCGCTGAGGGCAAGGGCAGCGGCAGCCGCTTCCGGGCACCGCGGTCCGCGCGGCCCGCCCCGCCGGAAACCGCGACCTACCGCGCCAAGGTTCCGGGCTCGGCTGCGGAGAAGGAGGGAGGGTTTAGACGGAGCACCGCGGGGGCTGGTCGGCCGGGAGCGGAGAAACGGGGAGGGCTGGATCTGTAATGCCGGGATCAGGGAGCCCGCACCGGGGTCAGGGAGCCCTCACACTCGGATCAGGGGTCCCTCACCGGGGTCATGGAGCCCTCACACTGGGACCGTGGTTCCTTCACGTCGGGCTCATGGATCCCTCACACCGTGCCCCCCTCACACCGTGCCCCCCTCACAGCCCCGTGTGGCCTCGGGGCCTCGCCCCTGTGCCCCGGCTGCTCTCGGCACCCAGCGGGCCCGCCCTAGAGGGTGCTGAGGCCAGCCCGGCCCGGGCGGTGAAGCCGAGGCTTCCGCGCTGTTACAGATCAGATTCTGCCGAGTCCCAGCTGTTGTTGTGCCTGGGGAGTGCCTGGCACGGGTGGCAGCGCTGCCTTGAAAGCTGGAACACACAAGGTGTTTCCCAGTGGGCTTCTGTGAGTTGTTGGGGTTTTTTTTCTGGCCACAGTGAAGCAGGAGGCGAAGGCGGCATCAGAGGAGTTCGTCAGCTCTGTCCCTCTGCCCTCACACAGGAGCAGCCCTGGTTCGGTCATTTCTGGGCAGTGCATGCCACACCTGTCCCTAAGGACCACAGACCCTGGAGTGTTCACCTGGCAATGCCAGTGCTTGCTGACATTAATAGGAAGTGTCCCCTTGTGCCTGATCTGAATCTTTCTTGTAACATGTCCACAGTGGACACAGATAATGTTACATTCTCCATCTACGTGTTTGAAGACTGTTGCCGTGACTCTTCTCAGTCTCCTTTTCCTTAGATAGAAAAACTCTTAAGTACCTCGTCCATATTTTATAACTCCTTTGTCATTCGTCTCGGTGCTCTCCCGTGGACTGTCACCAGTTGATTCACAGCTTCCTTTCTGTAATGTGGCCAGAACTGGGTGTCACATGCTGAGAAATGGAAAATGAGATTTGGGGTGGTTTAGGGGTCAGGCTTCTGTTTATATTGTGAGATTTTTCAAAGCAAAATAAATTGCATAAGGATGACCTAATACATACAGGTATTTCAGGACTGGGATAAAAGTTGGGTTGAGGTGAGGCATGTGTTTTTGTCTCTTGCTTGCCTACTTTGTGACTATTTATTTATAAGTTTAGGGGACTATATTTTAAATCCTACATTGCTTTTATATTTTAGCTTGACCAGTTATTTTTGTAATTTATGTATGATTTTTTAAGGCAAGTTTCAATTTAAAAATATGAATGGTGACATTCCATAGGACATGCTAACAAATAACTTTTTGTGAATGAATACTATGTAATTCTTACTCCAAACAGTAGAGAGCATCATATTACTAAAGGTTCCAATTCAGGCTGCTTTCTCTCCAGGCAATGGTGAACATGCTTAAGAAAATGAACAAATGTCACCATCTTCTTTGGTTCTAGATTAACACTTTGATGAGTTATTATGACAGATTGTCAGACTATGGAACTCATGAATGCTTTGCACCTTTAACCTGTTTTTTCTTCATTTTCAGTTGTGAAGGTATCAATACTCCTACAAGGGTGTTCTCTAGGAGTGCAGAACACCTTGGAGCTGGAATAAAACTGTGAATAATGAAAAGATTGTGTGAGTCTTTATTCTTCCTTGGAGACCCTGCTTTGGTGGGAACTCTGCATCTCTCATCTCTGTGCCAGAGCAACCAAGGACCCCTGCTGCACCCTAGTCTGCACAGGCACTGGAAACAGCAATAGTGATGTTTGGGAAAGCAGCAAAAGCTGACCAGGCAGAAAAAGTGTGTGTGGCCGTCCTGTTTTCCACCCCTGGCACCTCCCAAAATAATGAGTCATTTCCCAAAATCATCAGCCTGCCTTAGAAAAGGTACTTTTGCAGTTGTTCCCTTGTGTGTTACAGCTTCTAGATAGCAATGCTCATTTCCCCCATGTAATCTGGTTTATCAGAAATGCAATTTAATATGTTCTTTTTTTAGTTTTAGTTTATGCTGTGGCTCTCATATAACAACTGGAGTTCCCTTTTCTTGGTCTCAGACAAATAAAATGGTAAGTTGAGAGGCTTAGAGCAAGTTGCAGTGGGAGGAAGGAGGGTAGCACTGAAGCTGGGTCTGGAGAGAACCTTCTTCCCTTGATCTTGTGCAATAAATCACCCTTACACAGCTTAGCACAGATATGTCTTGTCAGTCCAGCCTCTGGTCTGGGCTCCTCTGGGAGGTGTGGTAGGTGTCAAGGCAGAACAACTTCCCTCCAGTGCTTGGCACCAGCATTTTCAAACACATCTGTCCCTGTGCTGGGCATGGGTGCACATCTGTTCATATTAACCGACCTAATCCCTTCATTTTCTCTTCTCTGTTTCCAGCATTTCTCCGTTTCAGGTCCTCTGAGCCTGCCCTGGAGGATAGGCTGTGGTCTTTCCTGTTGCTTGAGATATGAACTTGTACAAGTCCATACCTCATGGCAGCAAAATGCTGAGGAATAGGAACTTACTTGATACCTCTTGATCTGTTTCAGTCACCCTAGAAGTAATGTTTTAGTTTTCTTAACATACTTACTGGAAGAACAGGTTTGCCTTTCCTGACCTCACTCCTAAAATATTTCTTGTGTAACTTCTTAAAAAGTAGTAAAGTAGCAAAGTACAAGGAAATAGTAGTGGAATGGGAATGAATCACAAGACTAATCAGCAAAAAAAGAAAAAAAAGAAAAAAGAAGAGGTGCCAAAACTCTGTGTTGTTTTCCTGCCAACTTCCTTTTGGCTCTGATTTAAAGGCCAGAGACATCTTATCCACCTTACTGACATGAAATGGGAAACTCCAGTTTTCCCCAGGAGTGAGCAAATAATTCAGTGATGTGTCCCAAAGCTATACGGCAAGGTCAGCAAACATTCTATGAGGATATTCTTAATAATGAATAAAGCTCCTGGTTACAGATCCTACCTGGCTGGATCAGTGTACAAATCCACCTGCACAAACTGGGGCCCCTTTTTACAGTGCCAGAGCTTGATTTATTTTCTACAGCTTATGTGGAGATCACTGCTGGACACTAAGCTCAGACTGGTTGCTAAGAGTGTTAACAACAGCAATGGCTATTTTGTTTCTTATTTGGACACACTCCTGGTCTCCAGTGATTCCATAATCTTTTGAAGAAAAATACTCCCCTCTTGCCCTCCCCTAAAAGTTTTGTGCCAGCAGCGCTTGCTTCCACCTGCCAGAGTTATGCTCTGGAGTCATATTGTGTCAAACGCTTGTAAGATTGAACTTTTTCTTTCTTGCATTTTTGCCTGAATTCTGCATGAACCCTCACAATTGCAAAACTCCAACAACAGAATGGAGGGAGGAGGGATAAAGTGTTACCTGCTAACCCCAGAGAGGGAGGAGCTCCCTACTTCAAACATCATCAGAATTATAAGGAAGGTGTGTACTTAGAGCACTTCCTCAATGTAGAAGTTCAAGCACACTATGCTGAAGACCTGTCCTGAGGGTGCTGTACAAAGTCTCCAGAGGGTCATTTCATGGGGGAAAATCCTGCCAAGAACCATTATGCACAGCTTAACCAGGGAGAAGAGAATGAGATGGTGAGTTGTATCTCCGTCTAGGTCTCTCTTAGCTTGAAGCAGAAGGTGGCACGTGTTCTGCAATAGAATGCTACAGACTGTAATTGAGTTATTGCTAGTTGGGGTGTTTCCTTGGCCGAAACATACAGTTAGAAAGGGATATATTTTTTTTTTTCTGGCAGAAAGATAATAAGGTTGATTATGTCCATTGGGTTTAACCAGTTATCCCCTCTAACAGAGGATGATGGCTCACTTTTATTCATGTGGTGTTATGTCCATTGGGTTTAACCAGTTATCCCCTCTAACAGGGGATGATGGCTCAACAGATTATTCATGTGGTGTTACAAATCTAGATGGAGGTGGTTTAATATGAGCTAGAGGGATGGGCCAGACTGGCATCCCCAGCCATTTGACAGCTGGGTCTCCAGGATCAGCTCCAGTTAGAGAACAGGAAACCTTGGCTTTCTCCAAAACATAAAAACACCTGTTATGTTTGCATAAATTACTGACAAATGCAGTCTGTTAAATTGTCAACACTATCTCAGAAGCTGGGATTCCTAAATACTGAAATACTATATTTCTTTCCAGAGTTTCCCAGGGAGAAATGTGTTTGCATGCATTTTGTAACATCTGGAAATAAGTCTTATGTTTACACAAAATCTCTGTTCTCCTGCATGGCAATGCTGTTAAATAGGAAAGAGATTGAAGTGAATTCAGTGCTTCTGAGCTGCTTTGGCATTACTGTGTGTTATGAGTCAGCTATTCACATGGATTCTGTCCCTCTGATAGATTCTGCTGGAGATATCAGATCCATGATGCAGCTGTACAACAGCAGTTCTTAGGCATATCTGGTAAATGCAGTGCTTCTCAAAATCCCTGTGCTGCAGAGCCACTGGAGCATTGCTGTAAGTGTCTGCAGGATTTCAATAGCAAAACCATTGAAACACAGTCACTTCCAAGTTGACACAACTGTTCACTTTCAGAAGTCCCGGAGAAGTCTTCAAAATCTCCTCACTGACATTCCTGTTCTAGTGAAAGAGACTGTGTCACGTGCAAACATGGATACCTGTTATCTTGCAAAGAAAAATGTAGATTTTCAGACAGCGCTCTCAGCTGTCCAGGGAAGGGGAGATGCCACATTTTGCGTAATGCAAACCTGGGGAATGCAGTAGAGAGTCACCCAGCAGCATGAACTGAGCAGTGCAGGAAGCACAAGGCTCTGGCTCCGCGGGTGGGGACTAATTAGCTGCGTGCAATGCAGAGCCCGACTGGCTCCGCCGGCCAGTTACTAAACCTGCTGGCAGCGCCCTGCTCCTGGCTCTAGCCCTGGTGCTGATGTGCACTGCTCCCCAGCTCCAAACAGCTGCTGGGTTCGTGCCTCTGCTCCACCCTGCCCTGTCCTTCTAGGAGTAGAAACACCCTGTTGTGCTCTCACCACTATCGGTGCTGACTCTAGCAATGCCAGAATTGAGCTGGAGCTAATTAGGTTTAAGTGGATTGTCTGGTGTTGTGTACAGTCACGCTGTTGTACCCTGAATGTTCAGTTCCAGCTGTGCCCTGCTGGGACACCCAAGCTGTGCTTCCATGGAGCCAGTTATCCCAAGGATGTTTTTGGTACTCATCAATATCATACTGAGCCCATGTGTCCTGAATCTGTGCTCAGGGATCTGTGAATCTGAGGTTTTCCATGCACAGCTGCTGTGTGTGCCCAGTGTTGAGTCAGTCTCCACTATGAATCCAGAGTGTCTGGCAGTTGCCATGCTCTCCATGCCTGCACTGAGTAGGATCAGTACTCATTCACCTGGAGTTCCCAAAGGAAGTTGAAGAAAAAAGACTTGTAAAGCACTTGAGAAGAAATGCAATTAAAACTGTATCCAAATTATGCTAATTTAGGCAGGAATGCATGTGTATTTGTTACACAGATGCAAGACAAAAAAAAGATTGAGATAGAGTAAGATATCCCTGAGGATGGATGAAGTATTGTAAGAGGATGAGAAAAAAAGCAATGTGTGTATAGAAAAAAGAGAGCAGCTAATGTGTGTATTTATGTGAAAGGAAAAAAGAAAGTAGCATGTAAATAAAAATAGTTGTGAAGAAAGAGAAGTCTTTAAGTAGAAGAGTGAAGAAGGATATGTGAAGTAAAGAGAATTAATTTTTTTTTTAAATTCAAAGCCATGAAAAATATTTTTTAATGCTATTTTCAACAGTCAGTTTAATCTACCTGAACCAAATTATTAACAAGCAGCTCTTGACTTTTCGAACAAGATCAGATCTCTTGGTCTAATAATGTAACAGCTGACACTGGGCAAGTGCCAGTTCTTCCAGAGTGGAATAGTTCAAGTAATTTGAAAGCACGTAAGTAATTCACTTGAACTCTGGATGTGCAGTGCTTCCCTGTGTTGAACAAGCTGTCCTGTTTGCTGAGGAAATTTGGGGAACTCTAATAAGAAGAAATGCTTTGAAGCTTTCTTTTGTGTTTCCATTTCTTGGTACAGCTGAGGTGCTAGATAGTCCTGGATTTAAGAGTATTCACTCTGACTTAGGAAATGGAACCTGTATATCCTTGTGTATATCTTTGGGATTACTTTACAATTGCTGCAGAGCATTTGCTTGAATTAAAGCTCACTCTTCTGCTATGCAGCTAAAACTTAGCAAGGTGTATTCAAAGCATGAGATAAACTCTCTCTCCATAACCATTTGTAGTACCAGAAAGGTCTTAGTAGTGTGAGAGAACTCTGGACACAGCAGCTTGCCTCAGAGAGGGCTAATAGTAGGCTTCCCTTCAGAAAAATCTGCTGGAATATTTTGAGAAGTACATTTACAGTGGAATACAAAGAGGAAGAAAACCCACAGCTTTATGCTCTCTGCCAATTTGATGTTCTCTGCACAGCTTGGGAATAATCATTCCCTTTGCACAAAACCTAACGTGTGAAGCTTAAGTCTTGCAGTGCAGAAGATTGTGATAGACTTTGACAGGCTGCTGCTTTGGGAAGGATTTTCCAGCAGCCTGTCTTAAGCATGTGTTCCCCCATTGCTTGTGGCTGAAGGAATGCAGTCAGTCAGCTGGTGCACCCCAGTTTACTGCTGCATCTTAGCAGCTGTCTGCCTCCTTTGAGAGGCCACAATTCTTAAGGGAATCTGATACAGGAATTTTATATACTTTGAATGTGAAAAATGTAACTTTAAAATTGAAATAAAATCTGAAAGGTACAATCTTGTTGCTAATGGAACAATAGTGAATGTCACTGCTGGTTTTGAAGAGAACAGGGACAAACCTTTGATGAAACAGGTTCTGGTCGGTAAGGCTGAGATTCAGTTATTAAATTGCTTGTGGAACTTAGCCAGTCTTTCAAGTCTAATCCTATTAACTGTTGTTATAGCAACAGGTTGTTCATAATAGGGTACCTGGTGTTGGGGTTGCCAGAAATATGACCATTCACAGCCACTGTTTAGGTTCCCTGGTGGTAGCTACAGGCTTTGTTTTCACCAAAGTAAAAGGTGCTTGAATTTTTTTGACATTTGCATTTAAATTCTGCTGTGCAGATGACCTGGCAGTTAGAGGCAATTTTTATTTTAAACATAAGTAACAAAGACTTGCTGGACACTAGAGTGATAAGCCCTTGAATGGTGGCTTTGTGTGGTTCTAAAAGCAGCTAAGAACCTTACTTGCCACTGAACAGGTCTGGCAGCTTTTTCTGTCCAATAATCCTGGCCCCTTCTCAGACCCTTCACTCACAAGTCAAACCATTTTGTTACAGTCTCTCCTCTGACTGTTGTGAGTCTCAAGGCAAAAGGGATGTTAACAGATGAGGAAACAAAATTTTACTGTACACTGCAATATTAAAAAATATTCTATAGAGATGAGATGAACACTGTATATCAGCCTATTCTGTAGATGGTTTTGCCTATGAGGAGTCTTACAGACAGCTAATCTTAATTTCATTTTCTACCATTTCCTAGTCTGATGCACTCAAGAACCCAGAATTTTGACTGTGAACTGTTTTATATGCCAAATGTACTCATTTAACTCTAAAAACTTGTTCATGCATTAGAAAAGTTGTTAAGGTGCAAATCTGTATTCGTCAGATCCTCTTTAAAAGAAGCATGTCTGCACGAGTGCAATGAAATGAAACGCAGCAAAAGTTATTTCCTTAACAACACAAAACTAATCTGACAGACATGTTCTCACTGCAGTCCTCTCAGCAGGACTTCTGCCAGCATTGAAAGTATTGTTTGCCATAGTAGACATGCATTTGCTTGGAGATCTTTGTAGCAGAGGCCAAGTGAATCCTAAATAAACTTCAAGAATTTCTAAACCCTAATTACTATAAGTCATTCATGTGGCTAAACAAACCTGTGCCATGTGTGTGCCTGTTCCTCTCTTCTTCATGCACATTGTGGATACCTCTGTTATGGGTCTAATATTCACCTTTTTTTGTGGAAGAGAATAGTTTTGAGAATTCTTCTAATGAATTTAATTTTGACTTATCTGATGAGTGAGAAGTTTCTGCTTTAACAAGGAGTTATTCATGTATTAATTTTTTTTTTAATGAATGCAGCATTCATTGCTATAATCCTTCCAGCTGAAAGCACAGGGCCAGAAAAAACTCCTCAACCTAACAGAACATTCTGTACTGAAGTTAAGCTTGAAAGGTTCTGGCTCAGAGAACTTTGGCACAAGTCAAATTTGGAGCTCAGTCTATTTCCTTGCCTAGCTTTACTTCTCAGTGACGTGGCCCAGGTGACCCACTCCAGACATTTCCAAACTGTGGGAAGTTACTTGTTTTGTCAGTAGATTCCTTCATGGACATCCAGATGCATCAGTTAACATCTGATGTTTAGTCTTTCCTAGCTTACTCGTTGTAGAACTCCTAAAGAGCTGTATTCAGAAATGTCACACTCATCAAGACATGAACCAACAAACCTGAACCAAAACCTCTGTTCATATGGCAGTTCATGCCCTTGAAGGGTCAGAACAGCTCAGTGGTATCCCTCTATCTGTCTGTCTCTCTGTCTGTCTCAGGAAAGTCCCTTGTGAGAAGCAGCAAGATCCAGCACACAGCATAATGAATACCTTAAAGAGCATTATTTTCTTCCAAGATGAGCTGTTTTCCTTGTTTGCCTCTCTTCTGTATTTCAGGATGAGGAATAGTGATGCATGCTTGGTTCTGGGGAGTGTCTTGGAATCTATGGATTCAAATCACTTTTTGAGCTGAAATTATTCTGAAAAAAAAGGCCTTAAAACATATGCTGGCATAGGGGGATGCAGATACATATTTTCATATATTGGTGAATGGTTTCCTAGGCAAAAATATAGAGAAATACAGAGTTTGCTCTAGTTTTGTGGTTATCTTGCTGTATCAGACTTGGGAAACCATTGAACATTTCAGTGAAGAACACTGCCAACAGATGATGATCCCAAATGGCCGCCAATCATATGCAGAGCATCCACCCTCTCTCTTCTTAATTCTATGAGTACAGCCTTTCTGACTTCTCAGACACTGGGTGTAAGACACAAAAACTGAAAATTAAAGGAGTGATTCACAGGCAGAAGCTAGATGCACATGGCAGCAATCCTGTTCTTCCCCACCCTGATATTCATGCCCATCCCAATTTGAAAATACTATTCCAGTTATTCCAGGTCCAGCCACATACTGAAGGAAGTCCAAATCCCTTAGGTGTCTCTGTCTCCTTGGGATTCCCTTTGCCTTGCTGACAAGCTGTGAAGTCTGGATCCAAGCTAGTAAGCAATCTGGATTTTGCTAGTAAGCAATTGCTGTGAAGAGTGAGTTCACATTGTCCTATGTATTATTCCGTATGCTGGTGCTGACACTATTTCTTTAACCTTTTTGGTCAGGTTATAGCCAGAGAGAGTTGAATGGAAACCCTTTACCTTGTTATAGGAGCATGTGACTATTAATTGCACATGACTGCTACACCAGCTACTTCCCAGCAAGCTTGCCTGTCTGCTCTCACCTATGGGCTTCCTTCTATCTGCTGCAGAGTTGCCTTATTATCTTGGTCTGCTCAGAGATTATAGAAGCCTTTGAAAGTGCTGTGTGTTCGTCTCACAGGTGGTCTAACCAGGTCCAGTGCAGTGCAGGCCACTTTCCTGTGTCGTTTACCATAATTTTTTGTTGCAGTTGCCAATTTCTTCCCCTTAGAAACCTCCTGGAGATTGCCTAGGATGACAGAGTCTGTCTTTTGGAGAATGCCACAGAGCAGGTGTGCCGAGGCAGCATGTGGAACCACTGGGCAGGGCCTGCATTTCACATAACAAGCAAAGACACCAGCACAGAACCAGGAATTATGCATTAGTCATCCTTACAATTACATTGCCTTTTCTTCTCACCTTATAAATGGATCTTGCAATATCTGTGGCTGCAGAGATCTGATCCTCAGATGCAGATTACATAGTTGCTGCAGATATACTCAGAAGAAGGAATTGAGGAACCTTAACCCTTATGCTAGCAAATTCTCCTGGTCACCTGATGTAATTGCAGCCATGGAATCTCCCATCTTAGCTTAGGCTGCATCTTCTCTATAAATGCACTGTATACGTTTTGTTTCACATTTACTGAGTCCCTGCTAGCAGTACTGAGAGGAAATTTGGCCATGGTACCAAGACCTGCAGCTCTTAAAATGTAATGCTGACAGACATGTTTTGGGCAAGTCACCTTGCCTCACTGTAACAATTTCCCCAGCTTTAAAAATGGAATAATAATAATAATAATAATACTCATACAACTAAAATGAGTAGCTTCCTTTGGCCTGAACATGTAAAGCATTCTGTAAGTGTTCATTAGATGTTCTTCCTAACAGTTGTTGTTATTATTATTATTATTATTATTATTATTATTATTATTATTAATCATTAGCTCTTAGGCCAATGGCACATAGGCAAGCTCCAAAATCCCCATACTGGAGCTGTCATGGAAGAGGGTAACAGCTCCAAAAGCTGTGTCAGTGCCAAGCTGTGCCCAGCAGCTCCAGCTGGTGCAGGCACACAGTGTCATTCAGCACCAAGCACAGACACTGACTGAGTCTCTGAAGTGTGGGTGCATTAGTACAGATCACTGCTAGAGCATGGGGGCAGCCCTAAGGCAGCAGCTCTGCACTGATCACTCACCATCCCCTGGTGAAAATGTGCTTAGTCTCTTCAGCTGTCTGACCCTTAAAAATGCTGATGGTCAAGTCTGAATTCCTGACTTGGAATAAATGTTTAAACCTCTATATTTTGTCATCATTCCTGCTCATGCACACACAAAACAATGTTTCATGCTGAGTTTCACAACTCCATAAAAATAGTGGTCAGGCTACAGCAATCTAGATTTTGTGAAGGTGGATGAAAAGTTCTCTTGAAGATGCAAATTTTTGGTAATCATATTTAGGACACTTAAAGTAGCCAAGTATAAGTTCTATGGCTTGTTTTTCACAGTACCATACCTAACAGTAGCTATGGGAGAACAGCGAGTCACAGGAAGCTGTAGTATTCCAGGCATTTCTTTAGGAGGAATAGTAATGATTTTTGTCTTCTTTTTGCTGTACAGGACATATTTGGCTACAAAACTCAAGGCTGCCGAAGGGCCTTGTGCATTGCTGGATACATCTTGTCCTGTGGGGCTCTGAGGCTGCTGTTTTACTGGAAGCCAGAGTGGGATGTGTGGATAAACTGCATCCAATCCAGCTTGGAAGAAGCAGATGTTGTTCTGCTTAGAACAACGGTAGGTGCCTACTTTAATCTTTAATTAGTCCCTAGTAGGTGGCTATTTGGAAGGTGAGTTAACTGTAAGGTATCCAGTTAGCTGAAGTCTCTTACACTGCTGGTTTCCTGCAATAATATCTTATGTGTACCATTGTTGATCTAAAGAACTTAAAAATATCCCACAAATTACATGTATGATGATGGTGGGAATGGAGTGTAACAGCTGATCAGACAAGGTGAAAGACATTGGGCTGATAAAACCCATAATATCTGTGGTTTTAAGACTGTTGTTCTCAGTCCTTCCTCCTCCCTCCTACCATCCCTGTTCTTTCTACATTGTAGCCTTGTGCTCCAGATTCTGGAGCATCTGTGTGTTTGGCAGTATCCAGCAGGTCCCGTTTCCCTCACTTGGCTGTTCTGGCGAAGATGCTGCTCTCTGCCAAAATGTATCTACTGGGCCAAATTAAAGATTTGTCTAGCAGTGTCTCAGCAGTGCCCAAGTGTGTCATGAGGGATCAGTACACAGAAGAGGCCAAGCCTACACTGCTGCTTTTCTTGGCTCTGTGGTTCCATTTCCCATCAGCCCTTCCCCATGTCCAATAAGCTTGCAATCCTGCAGCTAATGCTTTCAGAGCTGGCACATTTTGCTGTAGTTTCCTGATGCAGGTCACTCCCTGTTGAGGACTGTACTGAAGCACTGCAACATATGCAAACCCTTGGTTTTATTTCATGGAAGCTGCTGCAACACTAAAGAAGTAAACTGAGACTTGGGTCTGAATCCCAGCTGAGCCTGAATGCTGCAGGAGCTGGCAGAGTTGGTTTACTTCCAGAAATTTGATTTGTTCTGCTTCAAAGATTTCTGAACAATGGCATCTTCAGTGTTTGCAATTGCAAAATGGATCATTTACTGCCTCTGTGTTTGAGCTGCCTTCTTAAATGAGCACAGCAGCCTGCAGTTAAAAGCCCAGGTTTTGAAAATCACAGATCTGCCTGTTGAATACTTTCTAATGAAACAATCTGCATTGTAATAGCCTGGGGGGGTATGTTTTTTCTTTTATTAAAAACATCATATTAGGCTTAATATCCTTTCCTAATCTTCAATTCAGTTTGCATTTTTAATTACCTATTCTTGTGTGTAATTTTAAAAAGACGTGCCATGCCAAGCACTTTTCAAATAAATGAGTTTTTAAATGATCCTTTGTGTAATTAAACAGAAATTGAATCATATTGTATGTTCTTGTTATCAAGTAGCTTTCGCAAATGTGTTCTAAGTGTTTGAAAATTTAAGATTTCCTTAATGATTCTTTGTGTTAAAATGACAGTTTTGTTTTGTTTTGCTACATTATGATTATATCAAATGTGATGGCTACTGCTAATGAGGATACAAGTAATCTCATCAGCTTGATCCTTGGAATTATCTTTTGCTTCACATAAAACCTTAATTCTTAAGTCATCATTATCTCTGCGTTTGCAATATAAGAGCCTATTAACTCACTTTTGTTATTGAATTTTGATTCACTTTAGTTCAAATGATGAGCACCTGTGTTATTCACTGGTTCCCATCTCAATCTGCATCCCAATCTCTACTCATTCTGAAATCTGAACTAAAGATAAATATCAGAAAATAAATGTTATACTACTCAAAAGACCAGTTTAAAAAGAAAAGCAGGCAAATAAGATATATAAACATTATTAAAGTTCTTTTTTAACAATTAAATTATTCCAAAAGGCTCATATTTGGTACAGAAATGTTTTTTTACTCTTCCCTTTTCCAATTAAAGTTTCATAACTGCAAAACTGCTCACACCCAGAATGTAAGTCAGTCTCATAGTTGGCCTTAGTGCATGTAGTTCAGTGTTTGGGACTGAAACTTAGCATGGAGCTACTCACTACAGTAGTTCATCTAATCTCTCAGACTGTACTACCAATCCTTGTTATCAGGCAGTTCTAATGTTCAACTGGCTTTATAAAAAATGGGAAGGTCATGAACTCAGTTTGTGGTAAAAGCTTGTCTAAGGTGCCACAAGTGCTGACACTTCTTCCAATGAAGTGTTAACTCAGGAGTGGCTGTAAAGGTACTGGCACTAAACATCCATTTTGCAGCACAGCACTGTGTTCCTTTTGATCTTCCCTTTGCAGCAGGGTCACTAATCTCAGATTGTCCCGTGCTGTTTGCCTGCCCTAGATCTTGACCTGGGTGTTCCCATTCCATCCTTATCAGCCAAACACCAGACTGTGGTCACTGAAGTATTTGCAGTACTCACATTTTGACAGGACAGTTCTGTTCTGTTCCTATTCTAATGATTTTTCTCTAAATCACAAGTGTTGGGAGGCTACTGTTGGCTAATCCTTAAAAAAGCCAGAGTAGTGCTCCAGAAAGGCTGCTTGACTCTGAGGTGAAAGTGAATTTGGTCTGTGTTTGGGGCAAATTGTGACATTTCTCTTCTATATCCACTTAGGATGATTTTCGGACTTACTCTCGTAAGACTGTGACATGGATCTCTGTGTCTGCATTTATCAAAAGTAGATCAGACTATCCATCCCCTGAGGAAGACTCAATCTTCAGCAAAGCCATAATGAAGCCAAGTTTGCTAGTAAGTAAAGTATTCTCTGCAGCATCTGGGAGATGATGGCAAATCTCAGCCATGCCTCATGGAGTAAAAGTGAGCTGTGAAACATATGCAGCTAAGAATCTTGCAGCTTGAGGAACACAGTGAGCTGTGGAAAAAGAAAAGGATTGTATTCAACTGTACTCACCTCTGTAAAAATCCTCTCTTATTCTGAGGGGGGCTATGAAATGAGAATTCTCACTATTTCTGAGAGAAAACCTATGTTATAAGTAGGAGAGCTTCAGGAAACTGAGGTTGGCATTGGAGAATCAGTTCCAAATTAAAAAAAAAATCTGGCATAGGAATCAGGGAATTTAGGGGTGACTGTGCATCTGAAAGGAGTCTGTGCAGAACTGAATGCAGCTGCCTCAGTAACACGAAAACAGGGATGAATGCAGATAGGGAATAGAACAGAAAAGCACCTGAGCTAGATCACTATTTCCAGAAATATCTCATCAACACATTTTGCTTCTTTGCCTTTGTATGCACCAATTTGTTCTTTAAAGTGCATTTGCTGGAGTCGCGTTAACAGGAGTCACTACTGACAGTTCTTGCAAAAATGTATCCTGGTCTCTGCCAGTCCCATAGATTTGTGATCCCAGTGAGACACTGGGGTGAAAGTAGATGATGGATTGATCCAAGCAGATTTCAATGCCTCTTATCAGCTGAGTAAATGTAATTATCCCATTCTAAAACATGTACCAGACAGTTCAGCCACGTGCCTTGCTTAGCATTACAGGCTAAGTTTGTGTGAGCAGTAGGAATGCAAACTGATGCATTTGTTAATATCTGGCTTTTGATTGTAGATACTAGAACACTGCACCGAGGAATCCAGAAAAGAGCTATTTTCCCTTTCAGGAAATAAATTTCTAACTTACTAAAATTTCTTTTTATATCTACAACAATTTTTAGTAAATATTTTCAATATAAACCTAACTTTAGCTGAGCAAAGCTGTTGCTATTTCTACTGTGGACATATATTAATGTACATAGGAAAGTTTAGTGTCAACTAATCTAATCAACTGGCACAATGCAGAAAAAGTGAGACAGGTCTGTAACATTCTTTTGAGGATCAAATTAGTAACATAAAAAAGCCAAATATAGCCTCAAATAATAGGCCCTTTGAATACCACTTTCGTATCAATCAAAACATCTAGATAGAAAAGATCACATTTCAAAGCAGCAAAAAGAGAACAGTTTAATCATTCCCTAGCAATTCAAAAGCCCTTACTTATAATTAAATTTCAAAGTGTTTTTGCCATTTAAGCTACCTGAGTGTGCAGAGTTCTGTGTAGTGACCAAGAGCTGTCCAAGGACCTCATCTGACAGGGAGCTGAGTCCATTTCTTCCCACTCCAGTTTCTAGCATTGCAGATATTGCAGCTCCTATTGCATGAAATCCTAACTCCAGACCTCTTGTTAAGCTAATGACTGTGGTTATAGCTCCATTTTGAGTCGGTGCCTGAGCTGAGTTTAGATTTCATTGGCCTATAATAATGCTTATTGCACTGGGCAGGGAGAGTTCCCTGGAGCTGATTTCTTTACCACTCATGTGTACAGGTGTATAGCCCTGCCTTCTGCCAGCTGATAGGAAGTGCCATTATCTCTAATAGGATTTGTTATTGTTGTGCAGGACAGGACAGACTCCTCCTGCAAGTTATAAATGACAGCGTGTGTTCCTAATGGATAACTGCTCTGCAAGGGCTTAGCATTAGCAGTGACTCAGTATCCTGGGATGGCCTTTCTTGTCTGTTGGCACATCTGTTTAGCCAGACTCAGCACCATGCTTGGAAATGACCCAAAGTCCCCTGCTTTCCCCAAAACTAGACAGAAGACTAGGGAGCTGTTGGCTTTTTCAGCTGCTTGTGTAGCCACCATGGCATTAGTGATCTCTTACATTCATTCTATGAGATCAGAGTGAAGACCATTCCTTTCTTCAGAAAAAACACTGCTTTGTACTTGTGTGACCTAAAGGTCTGTAAAACTTTCTGCAACTCGCACTGTTCCCCAGTTATAGATTGGGGATCCCAATCTATAATTCATCTAGGGTGTCAATGAATGCATTCATGTCTTCTCTCCCTCCTTGCGCACATAAAATTTCCTTTATCTGTACTTGACCCCAGTGAGGATGCCTAGATGAGCTCTGTGAGCAAGTCTCAGAGTATTTTTGTTTGCTGTGTTGCATGCTTTGTTGTCCCTGTCTCGTTTTCCAGGTGAAAACTATCCAAGTACAAAAAATCCGCTATGTCTGGAATGTCTATGCAAAACAGTTCCAGAAAGTTGGGTGAGTTCACTGTGCTGGTTGCACAAGTCTCTGAAGTCAAGTGTCTTTGTGAATAATATCCTAAGGAACACACTCCCTTTCTATTTTAGAGTCCTAGAAGACCACTACACTTGCTCAGCTATACATGATAAATTTGGTTCTGGTCTCACCTGCAATGAACAGAATCTCAGGTACTCATTTTAAAACACGAACACTCAACATATGGATTTCAAAGGGATGTAAATTCGATCTGTTGGTGCATTTCCCATGAGTTTTTTGTGTATTTATTAATACACACATAATTTTAGATGAAACAGCCATGCATGGAAATATTGAGTGAAAAGGGCTAGAGAATGTTGTTTATTCCTTGTCAAAATTTTTGAAGTGTCTCAGTATTCATCACTGTTATTGGTCTCAATCAGGAAATAACTATGTCCTGTAACTAACTTTAAGCAGTTCTTATTGGGAGTAAGAGAAGGTCTCTGTAGAAGAGTGCAGATAAGTTGTGTGTTTGCTTCTTGACTGGAGCTCCAAATTGACTAGTTCTAGTCATTGAACTTATTCTCATAAACTAGTGTATCATTAAGCCAGTTACAGAACATATATTTATGAAACTGCTAAATAGAAAAATAATCTTCAGTTGATTGAATACTGAAAATCCAGCTCCTGACCTTAGCTCATGTCAAATCCTACATTCCAATCATTCTTAACTTTTTGCAAAATTATTTGTGTTTGGATCATTTACTTTTAGATGCAGAACTCCTTTGTTTATGGCCTCTCAAAGTAATTCTTGTATGATGGAAACATTTGCCTAATGTTTACACCTCTTGTCTGCATAAGTAAATGTAACTGGTACAGCTGTCTTTTCTAACGTAAGCACTGTAGGAACATTTAAATTTCTTTTCTTGAAAAAAAATGTCCTCCCAGCCTTTAAACTAGGATCAAAATAAGTCTCAGGACTACTGAAATCTGTATTGTCTTGATCAAGTGACATTGTCACTATTTTATCTGTGACTGATGTATCTTTATCCCATACAGGAGAGTTATATGTGGGCCAAACGCTATTGATGTTCCAGTGATCCCTATTTGGAAACTACTCATCAAAGAGGTTAAGCATTTCTGTTGATTTTATTCTAAGCTGCTTGGGAGGCCATGTGTGCATATAATTGATTCTATATCTGATTTAACTTCCCACTACTCACTCTTCAGGCACATTTATTTTTCAAATCCTGTTGAAAGCTGTTCCATGAAATCATCATAAGTTCCTTCACTGTCTCTTTTCCCCTATCCTCCATCACCATACCTGTGTGTCTGCTTGGTATTTCTATGTATCTGTGTCCTGGGAGCTCATTCTATTTGCCTTCTGAGGGCCATTGAAGGTTTCCAAGCTGCACTGGAGATCAGACCTTCCAGACAAGGGCTGTCTCTTAATCCACAGAGGTTAAGAGAACAGCAGTACCTGGTACATGCCTGTAGCTGCAGAGAGCTCGAGTGAGTTCATGATTTTGGGCAAGCACTACACAAAACACCAATATCTCTTTCTGACAGGAACAGCCTGTATGTGCCTAACCAAGGTGTTTGTGGCAGTGTGCTTATGGTATGTGAGCTACATGCTCACAGCACAATCTGCTCTTCTCTCACTTTTGTTGCATTTCTTGTAAGAAGCAAACAAAACAAGGATTGGGCTGAGTCATTCACATCTCAAATAATATCCTATTGGTCCATATTATTTGTCCCTTCTGTCAGATGAAGATGGTCCGATCTCATTAGACTAAAGTGACTGCTGAGAAAATTACAAAGGGGGCCAGAAGTCACAATACTTAATGTCTCTTATTCCAGACCTTTTATAACAGGTTGGACTGTCTAATTGGGGCCATTTAAATGTGGCCAGCTCTTTACCACTGCTGTCTCTCCAAACAGGTCCTAAATCCATTTTACGTGTTCCAGCTGTTCAGTGTGTGTCTGTGGTTTGCTGAAGATTACATGGAGTATGCCACAGCCATCATATTCATGTCTCTCCTCTCAATATTTTTGACCGTATATGATCTTAGAAAGGTGAGACACCTCACATTTTCCACAAGGCAGATTTAATGTCTGGGCCAGGCCAGCATGTTACAACATGTGCTACACAGTGCTACAAGACTTACTCAGAGGTTTAGTCTTGTGACATTTTGTAGTAGCAGGTGCAATGGCCTGGCCTCCCAGTCACCATAACCTCTGTGTGGTACCTTACCCACATCCTCCCTTCCCCATTCCAGTGCTTCACCTGGTAACATTTTGTTACGCTCTCTGTAATTAGGGTGGGGAATGTCTTTCTCTCTGTGTTGTACAGTTCCTGGTAGAGCCAGAGACCAGTTTCTGACAGCTCTCATAACCACAAATAACAAAACAAAATAGTTGTTAGTGGACAAATTGCATCATGTAAGTAAGATGTAACACTTTTGTGTGTTCTTCTTTAATTTATAGCAATCCATTAAACTGCACAGACTGGTTGAGTCTCATAACAACATCATGGTCACTGTCTGCAGAAATAAGGAAGGTGACTCCTCTATGCTTCTTTTTTCCAATGTGCTTTGTTTCTATAGCAATTTACATAAAGCATGTATAGTAACAGATTTATTCTAAAGTGATTTTCATCTTCTGTTCTCAGCTCAGTTAACTCACTTCTGCACAAAGAGTTAATTTCACTTAGAGATATGTTGTGGCATATCAAACATATTAATAATTGAGTGCAGCCTTAGCTGAAAATTGTCAGGAAAATGAAGTAATTTTTCTTAAAGCAGTGCTGACACAGCCAACAACATACCAATTGAATAGCTGTGAGTCCATCTAATTGCTCCATGCAAAGTCTGTTCATTGTCGAGGTATCTAGAGCCAGTCCAGAGAGATGAAGTCAAATGAAGAAATTTAGATCCAAGGCCCTTCAATTAGGTCAGTGCAATGGAACAGTTAACCATTGGTTGGGATCCTGGGTAGACAAGGGGGACTTCTACAATTGGAATTGATATCTAGGCTTTTCTTAAATATTGGAGGTTGTATACATAGGTCCTACTGTAGTCCTTTGTTTATCAGCCATTATAAAGAATTCTATTCAGCAATTGGTTCCTTGTATTTTTCCCCCTTGCTACAGAGAAATATATGAAGCACAAAGTTTGCATTACTTGTCATTTTCAGGTTTCCAAGAGCTGGAATCACACCATCTTGTTCCTGGAGATTTGCTGATTTTGAAAGAGGGCAAAACCTTTTTGCCTTGTGATGCCATCCTGGTCAGCGGGCAGTGCACTGTAAATGAAAGCATGCTGACAGGTACAGCTCCTCCCTGCCAGGTTTGCCACCTGAACACCATCAACACACACAATATGGACTTTAGGAAGCGCAATTTATACTTTCCTACGTTCATGGAGTGCCATCCTGGTCAGCGGGCAGTGCACTGTGAATGAAAGCATGCTGACAGGTACAGCTCCTCCCTGCCAGGTTTGCCACCTGAACACCATCATTGCCCCACGGCTGCAGCCAGTGACACAGGACAGACACAGTTATCATGCACATCCCTTTCTGTGAGACAGTCCATAGCTGGCCAAGAAGGGGATTCTTTTGGTTTGATATAACAGAGATTGAATTGTTGTTAATTGTCTAAACACACAATGTGGACTTTAGGAAAGGCAATTTATACTTTCCTACCTTCATGGAATGCAGCATTTAGGAAGAGGCGATCTGATTAGAAGGGAAAGAGTGGACAGTGAAGAGGAGTGAGCAGGACAGGAGAAGAAAATGGATATGAAGCAAAGTTGTTCCTTCACAGGGCCCACAGTCCACTCTGGCTGCAGGGGTTTCTGTCACTTACTGGATGTCTCATTGCTGCAGCATCTCCTGTGGAGTGTCTATCTAACCCTCCAGACACTTAGCCTCACATTCCTGTGATGACAGTGGAGAACACACCAGATGGGAGAGGTTACTGAAAAGCAGGGTTTTTAGTGCAGGAGGGGGTCACAGTTCTATTTCTTGTCTTTAAATTTGGTCTTGGTCTGAATCAAACTGAAATTGACAGTTCTGAAATTTCATGGAAATGAGAAATTCCAGAAACACGTTTCATTTAGAAAACTTTCAGCTGTCACAAAACATTTCTTCTTCACCTTAGTGTCTGCTTTGACATAAATAGAGTATTTGTCACCTGTCAAGCACTGAGCTAAAGGCTCTCATTTTTACTAGAGAGGGAGAATAGGGGATATCATGTTCCCATCTGCTTGAGGGAATGTGTGGTGACCTGCACATCAGGTTCAAATTAGGTAAACAACTTGTGGTCATTCAAAGGCAGTCATGCAACACCAGTTCAGAACTCTTTTCAAGTCTCTACATCTACAGTCAGGATTTGGAGTCCTTGGTCTGCGTTCAGTTCTTAGACTTACATGAAGCTGCTGTACTGATGCAAAGAAAAACTCTTCTCTGGCATTCTGTTTGTTTGCTAGGCTTTGAGCTCTATTCACTCTGAAGATGTCAAAATAAAAAAGTAAAATTTCTGTAAACTGGTTTCTCTAGTAAATACCTTTAACTTACCATCTAGATGTCTGGGTACTTATTTGAAAGTCAGCAGGTTGTTATTGAGTGTACTGCAGTTTTCCTCATCTGAACTAATCTTCCGTAGGAGAAAGTATTCCTGTAACAAAGATCCACCTACCACAAGCTGATAATTTCAAGCCCTGGAGAGTGTACTGTGCAGAGGATTACAGAAAACATGTCCTCTTCTGTGGAACAGAGGTCATCCAGACCAAGGCAGATGACAGAGGAGTAGTGAAAGCTGTGGTGCTGCAGACTGGTCAGTCAAAACTTGAGTTCACTTTTCCTTCCATGATTTTTTCCACTGGAACAGTCTGACAAAGTATCAAATAACATTAAGTAAAAGGCACTAATCCATATTTACAACAGACAGATGGAGAATCATTATCCTGGGCTGGGCTAAGTTATTATGCATTGTTTCTTTTTGCTTGGCATAACTTCTACGAAAACTGCCAGTATGTAATTACAAAGAAGAATTTTGCTTTGCTTCTAAGACATTGAAAAAATCCTTCCCCTAAGAAAAAAAAAACTCCTTTCTATATTCTGCAGATAAGGTCACATTCACTAAAATGAAACACCTGGGTCTTCTTTCATAAATTGCAGAAATTATGAATGATTTAGAAGCCCCCCATTCTTTGCAGAGAATTTTTAGAAATATTTTCCCCTTGGAATGCTTTTAATTTGTCTTTCCAGGTTTCAACACAGCTAAGGGGGATCTGGTGAGGTCCATTCTCTACCCTAAACCCATGAACTTCAAGCTGTACAGAGATGCCCTCCGGTTCCTGATGTGCCTCATAGCATTTGCAGCCATTGGAATGATCTACACAGTGTGTGTATTTGCACTTAATGGGGTGAGTTACTAAATGCAGGAGACATGGTGCACCTGAAACCCTTTTAAAACAGTTCACTCATTCTCATTCGTCAATGTGAGAACAGTTATAAACTGTAAACAGTAATTCTGCAAATTTTAAAGCCTGATTGATTTAGAAGTTTTTCAGAAGCTTTCAAGAAATCATTTCATGCCATGATAATTACCTGCCAATGTAAAGTCCAAGTCATGAGTTGTAAGGTTGATTCTGTAATCCAGCTTCTGAATAATTTTTCTCCTGAGGAATAACCTCCAATCAATTGGCTCAGAAGATTATTTCCCCTTAGGATATAAAAGAAAGTGTGTTTACGAACATATTCTTGTGTCTGCTTTGCAGTTTTCCCTTTTTTTTTTTCAAATTTAACTTCCCCATTGTAATATGTAAAATACATGCTGATGCTATCTCATTTGCTGAAATTGTCTTGCCAATATTTTAAGACTGAATCACAGGATGTACTAAATGCTTTTTCTTCTGTAAGGGTTTATCTAAAGGTGGGTGGTTAAGCACTTCATTCTAACATAAAATAGATACAAAATATGATCAAACTAATGTGCTCTGTGGTCTGAGACAATATCAATGAAGGGAGAACCAGAACATGATGGAAATTCAGAACATCAAATGCAGTATGATTTGTGATCAAAGTCTCAAGCTCAGAAGTAAAAGAAAATCTCTATGATGGTTTGCAAGTACTTCTGAACTGCAAGTTTGCTTTAGTTTGCAGTGTCTCAGTCCTGGGACCCCAGTTTGAAAAACATTCAATTCTTTAGCATTCATATCAGCTGCCCAGAATAGCGGTGTCCACACTCAGCATCCTGGCAGTCAGTTTTACACTGACCTCTATGCTCCCAAATTATAGATTGCTTTTACAAAGGTAACTGTTACTTCCATGTCTCTTCCTGCAGGTAAAAGCAATTTTCTTTCACAACTCCTAGAACATAAGGTCAGAAGAAATCATTATCTCATACATTCTGCCCTCATTTTCAGCACCATACCATAAGTCTCACCTGTCACCTTACCAGCTGTGCCTGTAGGCATCTGGATGAATGCCCATATAAAGAGCAGATTCCTGTGTGCTGTGTCATGGGAAAATAGGTTTGACTGAGGGTACAATGGTCTGGCTGGCATGTTTGAACACGTGTTTTGGAGGAGGCTGTGAGCCTGGCAGGTTTATTTGCATGGAGAATGGATGAAGGCCTGGAGGCTGCTCTTTAGCCTCTGCTTAAATCAAGCCTATTAATTTCTTATGGAGATGAATATGTGGTGGACCACAGGCAGAAATCAGCACAGCCTGGAGCACCTGCAGTGGAGGGGAGGAGCAATGAAGAGGGCTTGGTGCAAGCAGCACTTCTTGCCACTCTCTGCCTGATAACTGTCCTTGTTATTATGTCAGGAGGAGACAGGAGAAGTGGTGAAGAAGGCTTTGGATGTTATCACTATTGCTGTTCCACCAGCTCTGCCAGCTGCCTTGACAACTGGAATCATTTATACCCAGCAGAGGCTGAAGAAAAAGGGCATCTTTTGCATCAGCCCACAGAGGATCAACATGTGTGGACAGCTGAACCTTTTCTGCTTTGACAAAGTAATGGCTGTGTGGTGGTTATGCCCTCACTGGTAAAGGAGCCATGCTGGGAGTGGGAGGCTGGGGTTTGATTGAGCATTTCCATTGTATGTTAGAAACAAAATGACCAATGCTCTGTACTTAAATTCTTGTTTTCTGAACAGAAGCTGTAGCAATTTCTTGTTTTTCTTGGAATCTAGAGATTGCCTGATAGCACTTTTGCTCTGCTCCATGCTGGTATTTTCTGGACAGTAACTTCTTAAAATAAGTATTGTTTTTTATTCCTATTGGAGCTCTCATGTAAGAAGTAATGTAAATGTACATTTTAACTTAGACTGGCACCTTAACAGAAGATGGCCTGGATCTTTGGGGCTTGCTGCCCTCTGAAAGAAACTGGTAAGGCTCCTTGACACACCAATGGCACCTAAATTTGGTTAGTGATTGGATTCTTCTACTAGACAAAGGACCAAATCTGAAAGACATTTATTGTTAAACATTAAGCGGTTTGAAGTTTCCCATGTTTAGATTTTAAATTTTATTTCTATATCCTCTGGAAAATGAATTGTTTGCCTTATCCCGGGGGTCCTGATCCACATGAAAAGATACAGCCACTGTTGCCAGCATTTGGCACAGCAGGTCTGGGCAGGCAGTGTTCAGTAGACAGCCTGGGTTAGATCTCAAAGCTGCAGTGTAACCCCAAACTTTTATGACAGAAAGTCACTGTTACCCACAAGACTGACACTGTTCTTTCAGTAACCTTGATTTTGCCCCATTTACATTTCCAGAAATGTGCATACACAAAGCTGCTCAAACTTATATCTGCTTCAGAACTCAAAGAATCTTTGCACAAGCCTCAAGGAAGATATTTTATAATAATCTGTTCCTCTCTCCATCCCATTGGATTCCCTAACTAGGCATAAAACACCTGGTTTGAGCACGTGTATCCCAGCCTTTATAGGTGCATGGAAAGCAGTTCATGGGGGAGGACAAGTCCCCGGAATATCCATGTGGTCTGGGCTCAGGATGGGACTTTAACTGCCCCCAGTTTAGGATTTTTTTCTGTTAGTCTTACGTTGTTTGGTGTTCTCTGAGAGTAACTTTTATGTTCTCTTTTTCTTTAGCTTTCAGGATATTCACCGTTTCCCTGCAGACCACAGCCTGCCTTGGGGCCCAGTGTTCAAAGCACTGGCAGTTTGTCATTCATTAATTGTTTGGGAGGGCAAGATCCAAGGAGACCCTCTGGATGTGAAAATGTTTGAGGCCACTCACTGGGTAAAGATGTGATTTGCTGTTATGCAAACAGTGGGTAGATAATCTTGCCATCTCAGGTTTAGCCAGACACCTATCAAAGTTACGAAAAACCTCAGGAATTCTGTTAAATAACTTGAGTTTCTTTTAACACCAAAAACATTTTTGTTCCTCACAATCATGTTGTGATGATAAAAAAATCCAGATGATGTGTGGAATACTTCAAGAGCAGAGCTTTCTACATTAATACAAATTCTTGCGTATTATTTTCTCATTGAGTCTATGTTATATCTAAAGATTTTTCTTTAATTTTGTTGTAACGAAAAAAGGATTTATTGTCAATGAGAGGACATAGTCTATTTGCTGTGCAAATACAGCAGTGTCTTAGTGAACCTGGTGAGGCTTTTTACTCGATTGCTAAGAGAGGCAGTGGATTTTCCATTACTGGAAGTATTTAGTTTGACATCAGACAGACCCCTCCCAGGAATGAACAAGATAACTTGTTTAGAGGCAAGGAAAACCTCTAAATGGATCCTTGAGGTTCCTTTCAGCTGTACTGGTGATTCAATCTGAAATAATTTTGTCTTTCAATGCACAGGTGATAGATGATTCCAGCAGACACCAGAACGAAGGTCAAGGATCCACACATGCCACTGTTGTTAGACCTGGACTTCAAGCCACCACTGTAAGTTACTTGCAAGATTCACATCCATGATCGAGTAAGACTGTCAGTGTGAGGGTTACCTTTCAGTATAGGAAAGCTTGGGTGTCCTTGTCCACTTTGTCTTTCCTGTACTGCCTGCAGAGAATTGCCTTGCTCTATCTGATTACAGACGCCTGGGGGAGCTTGCTGCTCACACCAGAAACAGGGGGATGCTGGATTAGAGATTGCCCAGCTCAGGGATGTGCCCGTCCTCATGGCTTGAGACTCAGGCTGAACTCATCTGAGTGGGGAATGCAGTGGAGTCTGCTGGCTGGTGTCAGACCTTTTCTGGTAACATACACTGGTGGGACACTTTCTGACAACCATTTTCCTTTGCCAGACCAGTGTAACACCTACCAGAGTCTTATTAAAGAAACAGGACTAGTAAATTCCTTTCAGTAAATTACATTTTCTAGTCTGCTAAAATTGTCAACAAACTATTCCTACTGCTTAAGCTAAATATTTCTGCACAAATTTAATCTCATCTTCATGTACCAGTCATTTCTGTCTAAGTGTGATAAATTAGCCCATTATACATGGTTAGCTTCTGTGGCCCAAAGGACAGACCTAAAATGCTTTGGTCTGAGTTTAAAATCCTTGCTAGACTGTGTAATCCACTTGTTTCTCTCCTAGGCCCCTGTGGAAGGAATTACCATTTTACATCAGTTTCCATTTTCCTCAACCTTGCAAAGAATGTCTGTCATTGCCCAGGAAATTGGTGGGGACCCACAGGCCTTCATAAAAGGGGCTCCTGAAACAGTAGCCATGCTGTGTAGAGCAGAAACAGGTAACAAACATTTATAAATGCATTCAAGAAACAGATATGTATAAGTGACTTTGGATGGTGCAATGAAATGAAAGGCCAAAATGAGATTTCTGTCTAAGACTTTGTACTAAAGCCTGAAAAGTGTCTCTGTTGTATTCCAAGTCTAAGGCTAAACTCTCACACAGCCCTTCTCAAAAAAGAAGGGTTTTGAGAGAGATAAGAGCTAAAAGTAACTACCACCTCCTATACAAGATGTACAATCTCTGCCAGAATAGATATTTGGAAAAGTTGTTTACAGGTCCACTCTCCCTCAAAAAAGTTGGGTTTTTTCTCCAGACCTTGGGAGGGCACTTAGAGAAGCACAGATCCTTCATGACACCCTGGAAGAGGGTAAGTCTTTGCAGTTTAGGACCGAAGTTCAAAATTATAAAGGACAGGCAAAGATCTTATTGAACAAAATTTCCTTTCTTTGAACAAAAACTCCTTTCTTTGATGTGCTTGGCCTGTTGGTAGACTCTAGCTGTACAGGTCCTCTGGGACATAAACCTTCCATGCTCCAAGGTTTCCTTTCATTAGAAAGCAGTTAAATGCTGTGATAAATTGTGTTTTCTTCTTTTGCACAGTCCCATCAAACTTTGAAAGCAAGCTCCTGCTCTACACAGCACAGGGCTTTCGGGTCATTGGCCTGGCCTGTAAATCTCTGCAGGGAGGGAAGCTGCCTGCTGCTCTAACAAGGTAAGCCATAAAAAGCACTGCTCCTGGCCGTGTTCAGCCATGGGCCAAGGGTGCCTCACAAAGCACCAGCACCTCATCACCCCTGCCAAGAGCAGAATCATAGTACAGAGTTTTGTTAGATTCAGGCCAGTGGTAACCTGATTTAAATCAGGATATAGGCCTGGGAATAGATAGAGAGCACTCCTGTGGCACGTGCACAGAATCTTTACATATTTATTAAATTTCTAAAGTCTGGATTAACATAGGAAGCATAATCCTCTTACACTCTGAACACTAGCACATGGCAACTGTTCATTCCGTCATTTACACTAGACTCCTTGCAGATTTACCCATGCTTTCAATTGAAGAGAAATCTTTTAAATTTTTTTTATTATCCTCACTCTTCAATTAGGCAAAGGAAGTAGATGACCCTCAGTAGTGATCTCCAGCCCAGTCAAAGGCAGCAAAAGACATGCCAAGGGGAACACAGAACTGCCAAGACATGGCTTCCTCCACAGCTTTCTCCTTGGAACCAGCCTTAGCCCAAGGCTGCTTTCACTGCTCTGCCTAGGATTAGGGTTCTGCATACCACAAAGCCCAGAGCAAACTGTCTTCTGCTGTTCTGTTAGTTCAATCATTTAGCTTTCTCACTTTAGCCCTTTTTGGTTTCTATTGAAGTCAGCAAACTCTTCTATTATGCTTGTGGTATTAGTTTTGTAAAAACTGTGATTCACAAAAGAGCACCTTTCACTTGAATCCATACAGTTTTTTCCAAAAGCCTTTTGCTTTTGTATGTGATACTCCAGAAACTCCACTTCTGAAATACCTGCAGTTACTGAGCATCTGCTGTCCTTTCTCTTTCCTAGCTGCAGGTCCTAATCCAGGTGAGGCTCACTTGCTTTATCACATTCAGCTTTGCTGGATGGGCTGGTGACACTGAGGCAGAGTGCAGGTGGTTACATAACTCTTGTCACAGGTGTCACAACAGACCTATCCTCCCAATGAGCAAATTTGTGTGAAATGGCCCAGATTTTGCAGTTGTGTATGCAGTTACAGCATGTGTGATGTTTATGCTGCCAAGAGAAAGAGGAAAGCTGCTGGTCAAACACAAGATCTGCTGTGAAAGCAATGACCATTCAGGCACCACCTGACTCAGCTACTCTGACTGCCATGCAAGTGTGTGGCATCTCCTTGGTGTCTAAAATGAGTGCTTGAAAGCTTTTCTTCTTTCCAGATTCTTCAGTCTACCTGTGTCCCTGAGAGACCTCTAGTTCATGACTCAGGTGTGGGGTGTCTACTCAGTTCTGTTCTCAGCTGCATGTGTTCAACTGTAAAAAAGCAATAGCACAGGTGAAAAGAAAAATGCAGGGGAAAACAGAATTGGAGGAAATTGAAGAAAACAAATTGCCACAGGCTGTTTGCTTAGGTCTTGCTGTCAAGAGGAGCAGACACATTAACTAAGGTGTGTTTCTTTGTTGTACAGTCCTCAAATGAGAAGTGTGCAGGGACTTTCCCAATCAGACCACCATAGTTTGGGAATCCTGCAGGAAATTCAGGGTTCTGGTATTGAATTAGCACTGCTGGTATTGAAATAGCCCTACAAAAGTCAGACATCCTGGGACTGCAGAAAATAGACAAATTATTTTAATTCTTTTGAGTTAAGTGGGATGGTTGATAGTTATAATTGACTATCACCAAATCTAATGGTGATAAAGGTAAAATAAATGATTAAATCTGTCTCTTTTTGACTGTTAGGGAGGAGGTAGAATCTGATCTGACATTCCTGGGTCTGTTGATAATGGAGAATCGATTAAAGAAGGAGACAAGGCCTGTTCTGGAAGAGCTCAGTGCTGCCCGCATCAGGAGTGTTATGGTCACAGGTACCTAAAAAAGGTGGATTATTTTTGTGGTCACTGGCCCAGGCAGGGAGTCCAACAATGTTTAAGTGCAAAGTCTGCTGTTGTCAACACCACTGGTAGGAAGGCACAGATATTTAATCCAAGAAATATCTGTTTTTAATAATGACATAAGGTGAACCATGTTGTCCCTGGCAATTTCACCACAGTGAGATGATTCTAGACTGTGTCTGATTCTAATAAAGGCTTGTCATGGAAGGTCCCTTTTTTATAGGGCCTTAGGGCCTCCTGAAATGAGCAGAAACGGGGCATGCGAGCTCAGGACAAATCTCCAAACCTTTTGACATCTGTAACTCGTGCCTACCAGTGACTGTCTATCCTCTTTTTTTTTTTTTACTTTTTTTCTTTTTTTTCTTTCTCTTTTTTTTATTTTTTCTTGGAGGGCTATTCTATCCAAATCCAAGCCAGGGTTTGGATAAAATAACCCCAAGTTTTTCCATTGCCCAAAGACTTGGGCCTCACCCATTTCAGCTCACATACACTAAAGCCAATCAATGAGAATCAAGGATACCAACAGCAACATAGCACTGAACCCTTTCTGGGTTTTGTTTAAAACAAATAATCTAGGAGCATATTCCCCATATGGATTTCTTCAAGCAGAATATGAAAATACTTCATGTCCAGATCAAAATATTTCTTTTCCAAATGAAAATGGTTATTGATTGAGACAAACCTTATCTGCAAAGTTTTAATATTTATCAAAAACTTTCTTATGCACAGACACTGAAATTTTAGCAATTCTTCTGCATCTATTCGAAAACTCAGAATTCAGGCTAATGAATAAACAATTCCTCACTGCAGAAATGCCGATAACACTTTGATTTTTGTAGGGGACAACATTCAAACAGCTATAACAGTTGCCAAAAATGCTGGCATGATAGCTCCAACACACAGAGTGATTCTTGTGGAAGCAAAGGAAGTTTCTGGATCTTTTCCAGCATCTATAACCTGGAAATCCCTAGAAGAAAAGAAAATTGAAGACTACAGAGGCCTGGTGAGCATATCAGAAGCAGGTTTTGTGCAGCAGGAAAACAAACTAGGATGGAATGCTTTAAACAAGGAGTGGAATTATGGCAGTATAACAGAGAACCACCATTCACCACCAGAATATGTGCTAGAGGAGTGTTTATGAAGAGGGGATCTTTATAGAAATGTGCTCCTCTAGAGCTTACTTCCTAACATTTTATCCTGCTACCACATTTTTGCTAATTGCCTAGCTGGGTTTGAGACCAGTTTTGCAGAAATCCCAGAAAGATTTGTCTCCAGCCTTCATGATTAGCTGATGCCAATCAGTTTAAATGTTTGCTTTTCCTGCAAGATAAATTTTGTGGTATAGATGTGGACTTAAAATCTGTGGAGCTGCATTGAACAAATCAGCCCTGTTCAAGCAGATAGAGTGTTAGTACTTTCCTGTACCTGCAGAACTAAAACATGGACCCACTGTTGAGAAATTGCGTATACACAGTGAATCATAGGCAAGCCAGGCTAAGAAATGTATTTCATCAAGCATCTCCACACAGAAGCTGGGAAAAAGACCAATTACTTTCTCCCTGAAGAGTTGGTCTGAAGGTGCTGACCCTTCTCTGGGCAGTACAGGGTCAGGCAGATGGTAGGGATTATCTGCAGTGGTTCCTGAACCTGAGCAACTTCTGCCTTGTATTTCACTAAACAAAGACTTCCTTAGATGTGGTACACATCTGCTGTCTCTGGTCCGTCTCATTTCCAGTGCAGTCCACCAGATTGGCACTGTTGCATGAATTCTACCAAGTGCAACAATCCATTTGATAGAACTCATGCAACGAACACCCAGTTAACACTGAAATTACTGCTGTAATGTGCCTCAATCCCTTTACAAATCCAAGCAAAGGCCATGGGCCTTGAATCCAAGTTTCCCAGAGCCTTCAAAAGTACCCTCTTCACAGTATGCCCTTTACTTTGTCTGTAGTAGTGTCTGTGTAAACGCAGAGTAGGTTTTGGGGGCCTGGGCACAGCACTCATTCCGTCTCATTTTGTAGGAGGATGACAGTCAGACTGAGCCAGGAATCAGGCTGGCATTGGGATCAGGCCAGTATCATTTTGCCATGAGTGGAAAATCTTACCAAATTGTAGCACATCATTTCAGGCACTTACTTCCAAAGGTAAGATCTGGAATATGTAACTGGAGTAGCCTTGCCATTCAGGAGATATGGATTGTCCTGGTACAATTAGCTGAAGAGATCTGTATCAGGACATCTTTGGGAACAATTATAACCCTGAAATACTTATAGGCTGGATGAATCTCTGATATTATTATATGGGGAAGGATCTGAAAATCCATCTTTTTCTCTGCACATTAGAGGAGCAGGCATGCCTTAAGGTGTGAGGACATGATTTGAAATATTTGTACCCATATCCCTACCCCTTGCACAGCACTGACTCTGACCTGTTTTGGAGAACAGGACAAAATATGATATTACACATGGTGCAACTCAGCATAGCTTGTTTGCTCCATGGACAGACTATCATGAATTCTCATTAATTGTTTCCTTATAACTCCCTGCCTGGCAATCTGTGTTCATCAGGTAACTCAAATAGCATACCAGGCCTCTTGTCCTTATTGTCATTGTTACTTTTTCAAAATATTGATTAAGATCCCCTTTATCTTTGATCATCAGCCTTTCCCTCCTTTCAGGTGTAGAATCAGTTGTTTATAAATGTGATATTTGGTGATTTTAAATCAGATTACTATTGAAATAATTTCAGCTATTTAAAAAATAATTTCCTATTTTTCTCCTTATAGCTCTTGCTGAATGGAACAGTTTTTGCTAGAATGTCTCCTAGTCAGAAATCCAGTCTTGTAGAAGAATTTCAAAAGCTAGAGTAAGTTCCTAATGAATTTGAAAGTGTTTGTTGAATTTACAGGCTTGTAAAGAGTCTAGTAGCTTTTGTCTAGCATAGAGTTTCATGGAACTGCACAAAATTGAAGCCCTCACACATCTGCAAGTTGGCAATTAAATTTCAAAAGTCTGTTAAAAAAGAGACACTGAACTCAATTCTGGTTTGGCAACCTGTCAAAGATCAAATACTTCCATGGTCCTGGATTTTGTTTGTTCATGTCATTCTTCATCTTCTCTCTGGGCCTGAAGGATTGATACTTGTCTCCCCAAGATTTTTAAGAATCTCTCCCAGAACTGCAGCTTCATTGAGCTTGCTGTCTTTTTGCTGTGTTACTGCTGTCTCAATGTGATGGCTTAGAAAATGTGTCAGGGCAGTCTGGATTGCTCACAGTCACAGTGATATATATATATATAGAGAGAGAGAGAGAGAGAGAAAGAGAGAGAGATACAGATGTATAGATATATTCCTGAGCCACAAGCATCTTGTTGCCTGTTGTTCAGCTGTTTCCCAAGTGTTTTTAAGACCCTCGCCCTTACTTCACCTAGCTAGCCCCAGGCCTTGTCCTAGAGCAAGGTGAGATTTAGGCCATTTCAGATTATCAACCTGGTGAGTGTAGTTGTGAGAACCTCAACTGCTGTCTGGACAGACAGGGTTTAACTTTCCAGAAAAGCTTTTAACAAAAATCTTGTCTGACTTGCACAAATGACTTGCATGAAGCAGGGTCTGATTCCTCACTTGCCTTATCACTTTATTTTTTAGTTACTTTGTGGGCATGTGTGGAGATGGAGCCAATGACTGTGGGGTAAGTGATTTTTTTTTTTTACATATCTTAAAAATGAGAAATTAGTGTAATGGCAGTAGAATATTCCAAACTGAGCACATGCTGGAGGTGGGAGTGTACCACTTATTCACAGAGCAGCTGTACTATCACTAGTAATGATTTAGACCTGATCCCTCTGTGTGGTCCTTACCATGCAAGAGCTGTCCTAGGCAGAGATTTTTGGAGTTTGTTATCTCAAAGACTGGTTCATTTTCCTTGCAAAATCCACCAGAAGATTCTCCTGGGGGGAGCAAGCAGAGAACCCAGACTAGCTGCATAAAGCATGGGAACAAACAAGTGCTAAAGAAGGAGGCAGAGCCAAATGTTCTTCTGCAGAAGGTAGTGGGTGGCTGTGGGGTCTTAGGAAAATGAACTTTCCTTGCTCTCATCCCCATTCTCTCCCTGGACTCGGCATCTCACTGGAGGAGCTCTCAGGGTGGAGCACACCCGGGGAGTGAAGAGGGACTGCTGTCACAGAACACATCCTGTGATAAGGGGTCACTGCTTGGCTGACATGTGGGTTGCTGTGTCTTCCTGGTGAGCACTGAGGAGCAATGTGACTTTCAGGCTTTGAAAGTGGCACATGCAGGGATATCCCTGTCAGAGCAGGAGGCGTCTGTGGCTTCACCTTTCACATCCAGAACACCCAGCATAGCCTGTGTTCCAGAGCTAATCAGGTAAGCATGGGTTTTGTTTCCCATTTCATAAAGAAGTTCCCACTCCTCTCAAACATTAGGTTTGGGTGTTCCCATCAAATCACAATATGTATATCTAGAGAAAAAAATAGTCTTTGACCTTGAAATTGCCATTTGCCTAGTCCCTATCTGAAATTCCTTTAAGATACATTAATTATCACAAAAGGAAGACATTTACAGTTGAGCTTTATGTCATCAAAAGTATTTTAAATACTTCTAATTTTAAAAGTATTTTAAATTTTCATAACAAAATTAACAATGCTCCATAAAGCTGAAACAAATGTCCACCAGCCAACCTGTAAATGAATTTTAGGCACCACCTCTGATACCTTATGCCACTAAAATATATCATCTATTATGCCAGGATCCTGATTTTGCTTACTGGGGCATTTGAGTAGCCAGAGAGAGAGCATTATCCTGATTGGATATCGTATGTTCACTGTGGGAGGAGAGGACTTGTTAGTTCTGAACTCACTGAATGGCTGCTCGGCTTTGTAAGTTTTTCCTCATACAGAGTTTGCTACCTACACTATTAATATCAGCAGAAAAAGTTGCTGGGGTAAATTGTAGTCTACAGAACACAGGTGACAGAAATCAAGCCCATTTTATTGAACAAGATTTCTGCAAGTGAAGATTTTATTTTCATTTAGGTCAGATTTTATTTATTTCACCTCCCAGGAAGATACTGGTAGAGGTCTGTCTGCTTGTGACACATGCCTTGTTTTTCAACAGCCTTTTGGGAGAACTGGCACCAGGACAGACCCACCTCCTAATTGCTGTACTTTATTTATGCCTTCACACAGGGAAGGCCGTGCTGCCCTCGTCACTTCCTTCTGCATGTTCAAGTACATGGCACTGTACAGCATAATTCAGTACCTTGGTGTTCTCCTGCTTTACTGGGTATGTACTGGGGACACATTGGCTGGAAGTGGATAAGCTGCTATTTCCTTGTAGGAGAAAGGGGGCATAAAAGCCACATGAGACTGGGAGATGCAGATTTACCTTTACCAGACCTGCAGACTTCTGTGGTGTGATCATATAGTCCTCCAGTGGAAAACTGGCAAGATTCTTCCCATTAACTTCAGCCAGAGGGCTTGAGATCCAAGCTGGGCAGACAGAAAGCTGAGATACTGAATGGTGTTTTGGATGAGGGCATATGTCTGTGAAAAGGAAGAATCTGGTGTAAGCATATGTTGTTACAATTTATTCAGCATTTAAAGCATGAATTAACTTGACAGTAAGCAAATCCCCTGGAGTGCCTTAAACCACTTTTGCATGGCTTTTTCCCAGATGGAGAGGAGGGTTTTGTGTTCAGAAGTAACCCAGCAGTGAGAAAGCAGTCTCTTCAAATATTCCTCTCCTTTATTGCCTGGAGTGAACTGAAAGTGTAGTTAGTCCAAACAATGGGCAAAATGAGAATATTCACTGCAGGCCCAATGGTGAGGAACCTATTGGCAGGGTGGTGAAATGTGTGGTCTCCTTATCTGCAGAGCAGCATTTGAGAACAAACAGCAGAGCAGGAGCTCCATGGTTATATCATGGCTTTCTGGAGACAATATAAACATGCCCATGGCAAATGTCTGATTTGTGATTTTTTTTTTCTTTGTTTTCCTCTTTTCAGCAACTAAACTCCTTTGGGAATTACCAATTTTTGTTCCAAGACCTGGCTATTACCACTGTTATTGGTGTGACAAGTAAGCCCCTCAGTCATCCTATGTATTAATTAATGAGAGAATGATCTCAAATATTTTTCTCCTCCTTGGAAATACATAATTGTACATTGAGCAGGAAAGAAAGTGGAGGCCAAGCTTTCTGCTGACTAAACATCCTTTATGTAGAATACAGGATGTTTGGATTAGTAGAAGAGGGGTCTTGTTTGAGAAAAGCCCAAAAGATGGGAAGTACTTAGTGGTGCATTTGCTGAGTGTAGGTTGTTGCTAACTGGGCTGCTATCTTTAGGACCAAGGAATAAACCCACACCAAGTGCAGTGAAAAGTCTCCTCAGGCACTTTCCTGTTGACTTAGGAAGGCAGATTAAGAAGACACCTGGCTCCATGCCCAAATGAAAAAGTAGGGATTAGTTTTTATGAGTCCAGCTCTCATTTGAAGCTGTGTAAACCAAAGCCCTGAAAGAAAAAAGTGAAAATTGAGAAGAAAGAAATGACAGATGTCAGACACTACAGAGCAGGGAGCTGTAAGCCAAGAATAAGAGAGGAAACCAGTGCTGAGGAAGAAAGAGAAAGACAATGTTATCGAGACACAATAAGTGCAGGGAAGGTTTTAGAGGCAGGAATGGCAAGGACAGGGCCATGAAAAGCATATAGCAAAACCACATCCTGGTATGTTCCACCCTTGCTGGAACACAGACAACAGGAAAAGACTTTAATGAAATCAAGCCTTAAAAGGTCAGCCACAGCAACACTGTGGGCCAAAAGCTACATTGCTGTAAGTAGTTTATCTGGAATTGCATCAAAGCTTTGTGCATAACTCTTTTACTCAAAGTCTGGATAATTTTGTTAAACCTAAGAACAGAGGAAAACCTGTTGTGTCAGGTAATGCTGTCCTTCTCCAGCTCAAATAACCTGGCTAGGTGTTTAGTTCAGGAGGATGAACAGAACATGGGCAGCAAAAAGTCCCAAGCCACAGCTGACAAGTGACAGAAAGAGAAGAGAAGAGCATAGGTATATATTAATAATCTTGGGCCTGACAGTAGCCAAATAAAATAAAAAGCCAACATTTTACTTTTCAAAAATACCTCATGATAGATGACATTAGTTAACACCTTCTGTGTAAATATGATTTTGTAAGAAAACAACTCTGTGTTTTGTACTTGATACAATCTTTGTATTATTAAGACTATTACAGACTGCAAAAGTGCCATTGATACTGTCAGTATTACACAGCATCACTGCCTGTATTTTGGACACACTAGTAAACACACCTGTGCATATTTCAGTGAGTTTCACGCGAGCCTATCCAAAGCTGGTCCCCTACAGGCCTCCAAGCCAGCTCATCTCACCCCCATTGCTGCTCTCTGTTGTGCTTAACATCCTCTTCAGCCTCAGCATGCAGATCTTCGGGTTTGTGGTGGTCCAGGAGCAGCCTTGGTATTCCCAGACAGATATTCACAGGTAGGACTCCTTTCTGGGACTCTGGATACCACAGGGTTGACCTAGTGGGGCAGTTCTGTGTGAAACTATTGATCAGCTGAACTGCAGGCCTGATGAGCAGTTGCAGCAGACCCTGTGCTGCCCACAGGGTGCAGACACTTTAACCAGTGTTGCCTGAGGTCCCTGAGCTCTCCAGCAACCTGCCACACACAGTTCATGTGGTGAGAATGCTTCTGCTGAGCACAGAGAGGAGGATTTGATTGCAGGAGAGACCAGGTCTGAGCTCAAGCTCTAAGAAGTTCAGCAAGCTCAGCCAGTGGTGAGACTGAAGGCATTGCCAATAACCTATATCATGGCTTTGAGGGAGGGTTCCTGATAGTTAATTGTGGAAGCTGGGGGAAATAACCAGGACAATGATCATTCCCTGAGCAGTGTGACACTCATTTTCAGTGCCTGCCTGTCAGTGAACAACCATGAGAGGAATTCATCCTCCAGCCTGGGGCTCTACGGGGTGAGAGATGGAGCCCATGAGCAAGCAGACAATGGCTTCAAGAGCTATGAAAACACCACAGTGTGGCTGCTAAGTACCATCAATTGCCTCATTGTAGCACTGGTGTTTTCCAAGGGAAAGCCTTTCAGGCAACCCATCTACACCAACTGTAAGTATGGGGAGAGAAGAAATTATATATAAATCAACTTATATATGGAGGTCAGTTTAATAGGGAAAAATTTAACTTGACCAAAACTATGTCAGGCAAAAAATCAGGAGAAAGACTGTCATGTGAAGGGAAGATGAACACAAACATTTGTGACAGTTCCAGAAGATGCAGTGAGTCATGGAAGAGCTGTTCTTTTTCTCTTTGGGACAAATACTGCAGCATGCTCTTAGACAAAACTCTCTTTAGCTCTTTTTAATATTTTTTACTGAAGAGTTAAAATAATGCAGCAGGTTTCATGGCTTTGGTGTTTTGGTATAGTAATAGTGAAGAGGAGACATTGCTTGTAGAGAGCAGAAAAGTGGGTCATTGGTCTCCCAGAAAAAGACAAAACACAAATGAGAGGGTGGATGATGAAGTTCAGTGCATGCCAGCTGACGAGCAAATGAATTTACTCATCATTGGAACATTTATCTACAGATGGAGTTGAAGGCAGCATTCCTAACCATATTAACAAGATCAAGACTATATCCTGGCTGTTTTCTGAATCACAGAATATGCTGTGATCAGAGAGAGACTTACTGCAAAGCTATAAAGCTTCTTGGATATAGAAGGTCAAATCCATCGTTCAAAATATCCATTTGGTGTTTTAAATATGTGGCTACAATGCTTGTCCCACACTCATGTATATCCACTTGATTTAGTAAAGCTGGGATTTTACTCTGTTCATTTTTCTCTTGCTGAAAATTCCTTTCTATCTCATGGATTCTTTTGATGACTGTGTAACACAGAAAATTATTACAATCTTCTACAGTAAAGGCAAATGGCTGAGATTGCTCATAAATCTGTGGGTTTCTTTCTTTGCTCTTATCCCTTCAGATGTGTTCATCCTGGTGCTCATAGGGCAGCTGGGCATTTGCCTCTTCTTGATGTTTGCTGACATTGATGATCTCTATTCCAAGATGGATGTGAGTATTGTTCCAGAGGGGATTTTCTTCCTACTGCCTGTCCATCATAAGCACATTGGGATTCTTTAAACAAAAGGCACAGACTTTTGCAGGGAGATATGGCATCTCTAAATAATATTTTAATAGGTGGATTTTAGATGATGGGATTATAGAAACTTCTGGCAATACAGTGACTCCAAATTAGTATCTGTGCATTCAGTGGGGCAGCTACATGTGTAATTTTGATTGTTTCAGCACACTGTCCAAGCAACAGAAGATAACATCACTAGGCTTATGTGTGGTATGTTGGTGGCTTGTGAACCAGGAACAGAACAGGACTGGGCTCTGCAAGTTTAAAATAAACCACCATGTCCTTGTGTTTGTCAAGCTGTGCTACTCTGAACAAAGGTCCTCTTGCCAAAATCTGCCAGTTGGCTCTCAGAGCAGCTCTCAGTTCCAGTCCCCAGTCTTTTCAGGCTCCCCATTTAAATTTTAGGTAACCTGCAGTTTCCCAAAGCAGGATTTGGGTTTAGAACAATTGTAAGGAAAGAGTAGTGGGGCTGCCATGGCAAGAGAGGATCTGTCTTGATCCTTGATTAATAAATACCAATAAGGCTTGACTTATGTCATCTGGCAGAATGCAAGCTGGGAGTTGTCTTGTCCAAATCCATCCCAAGGGAAATGTGAGGGAAGGATAAGATCGACATCAGCTGAAGGATGGGGTTGTTGGTGGAGCTGACAATTAGTATGTTGAGGCTGGGAGATATTAGCCTTCTCTACTCTGACACTCTCACAGTCTTGCTGTAGCAGTCACAGGAACAAAACATGACAAGCACCACGAAGCTATTTTTTTCTGTACATTTGCAACAGAGCAGTGGCCTTGAGTCACAAGTGCTGAACACAATGCAGCTTCCAGTCCCGTATGTTTGCATGTCAGTTAGCAAGTCAGTTTAGACATGGGATTAATGGAATTTTTATAAAGAAAGATAGTCAAAGGGCCCGAGTCTCGATTTTAAACGTCAAACAGCCCACTTCTCACTCTTGCCTGCAACTATCTGAGGAGCCTGGCTCAGCAGGCAGACCCAGTTAGAGAACCTGCCACGAGATGGCACTTCAAAGTCATCGTCCTGTTGTGGACTGTGCTGGCACAGGACATTTTTCAGCACTGCAGCTGCAAGGGGATAAAATGCTTTTGGGGAGAACTGTAAAACTCCCAGCCCAAGCAGTCTGGAGGGAATTCACTGGAATCGCTGAGAAGAGAAAAGGAGGAAGTAGCAATAAAAACCTCGGCAATAGCCTAGCCCTGGAGAAACTGCAGATCCAAATTGTGGATCTGAGCTGCATCTCCAAAAGCAGCTGAGCTACAGCCAGAAAGCCAGTCCCATCTCTGGGAAGCTGGAACTGGGTTTGGGGCTGAAATACTCAGTTTGGTCTGTTTAATAATATTAGAAAGCAAAAAGACAGATTTCCTCTTGCACATCTAAAGAATGGTTTTCTCTGTTTTCTTTACTGCATCATAGATTTTAAAACATCTTTATCAGTAATTCCTCAAGACACATAGCAGTATTAGCTCATCAGCAGGGTAAGCTAGTTTGGGAGTTTGGCTTTTCATGACATGAAGCTGCTGAAGATCTGGAACACAAGTCATGTAAGGAGTGTCTGAGGGGACTGTGTTTGTTTAGTGTCAGGAAAAGGAGGCACAGGGGAGACCTTAATTCTGTTTACAGTTACCTGACAGGAGGTTGTAGAAAGGTGGGTGTCACTTTTTTTTCTCCCATGTAACATGTGATAGAGAGGAAATGGCCTCAGGTTATGCCAAGGAAAGTTTAGACTGGAGATTAAGAAAAAAAATTTTACTGAAAGGGTTACAAACTGGAAGAGACTGCTCAGGGAAGTGTTTGAGCCATCATCCCTGGAAGTATTTGAAAGAAGTGTAGTTGTGGCACTGTGGTGGACTTGGCAGTGCCAGCTTTATGGTTTGGCTTAATGACCTTTAGGATTTTTCCCAACCTCAATGATTCTGTGTTCCTTTGCACAAGTACCCACCAGTGTTTACTGTGGACTCATTGCTGAATAGCTTCTCCTGCTTTTTCCCCAGCTGGTTTGCACCCCTACCATGTGGAGAATCTCCATGGTGGGAATGCTTGCAGTCACACTGGCTGTGTCCCTCCTTGTTGAGGTGAGTGTGCATCATTGGATGTGCTGGTCAGCACTAATGTGTGAGGAAAAAGAGCAAGACTTGACCATTTCTCCCTCCTCCTCATCCCAGTTTGGGAATATCTAGTAAAACAGGAGTAATTACTGCTGTCTCACCCTTGCTCCCTTTTCTTAAAGCACTCCATCTGAATGATAAGGGAATGAAAGACATGGCCACCTTTTCTTTCCTCTGGTGGAGAAGTCTGGTGGAGCTGGTGTGAAATGTGGTCAATAAAAGGCTGTGTAAGGGACATGGATGAGCAGGGCAGGTGGGAGATCTGGGTGTCCACTATTTGCCCCATGTTTGTACTCTGGTTGAAGAGTAAGTGGCTGTCCAGGTCCTCTTAAACCCTCTTTTTGCTTTTACCTTTTCAGGAAGCTGTCATTGAGAACAGACCCCTGTGGCTGCTTCTGAAAAAGACATTTGGGTACCACTCAAAGAGCCACTACAAGAGGCTGCAGCACGTGTTGGAGCAGGACCCAGCCTGGCCACCTTTGAATGAAACCTTCTTCTCAGATTCTGTGGCAGTGACAGTAGAAGGAAATATGGGAGGCCATAGCAATCCAACATTTGACAGCAATGAGGACTCGCTCTGAGGGAAACTGAAGTGGACACATATCCAGGACAGCTGTATTTGACCTTAAAAGGACTCAGTGACTTAAAAAGAGGAAGGGCTGATTCATTACTGATCTTCCATTCTAGGAGTAACCAGCTCTTGCTTACATCTAAATTAACTGGAAGCACAAAATCTTCTGCAGTAACATAAAGCCACAATGATGTTTCCTCTGTCCCCTTGCCCATATACAAATGGCTGCTGGCTGAATATTGGTAAAGTATTTGTGGTTGAAACACCCCTCTGTTGAACTGCATTATGCAATCCCTAAGGGTGGGAGATGCTCCAGATGAAAAGTAGCTAATTGCAATAGCAGCACTCCCCTGGGCAGATCTCCTTTGAGAAAACAAGTAGAACTTACTCCTGATAGAGGCTGCTGAGCATGGGTGTCCCTGGGGTTCCTCATGGAGTTTCAGATATTGCTACTCAGTGTCTTGCTTCTTTTTGGAGGTTTTAGCCCTTCTGGCAATACTTGGCTTCCACAACTGGAAGGGGCTGCAAACAGCCAAAGCTTTCTGTAAGTGTCCACTCCCAGCACCATTGTGCTTTTCCCATGATGGGAACAAGAAGCACTCTCTTGCTAGCTCACTGCTACCAGGAAACCTGTTTGCCCTCTTAGTTTTGAGCAAGTGATATTTGCATTTTATGAGTAAAAAATTGTTGACCTGCAAAGCAGAATGATTTCATTATTTAACTTTTTTTTTGGCAGGAGGTATTTTTTTCAGGATATCCGTTAAACTGTAGAATGGAATGTATTAATTACAAATTGTGGTCTCATCCTTCAAGGACATGCTGTCCCTTGTGGGGTGAGCTTGCTTTACCAGGGCAGGTTCTGCACAGATGGAATGTCTCCTGGCACCAGTTTTACCAGTGCCAAAAGAAGCAAATATTGAAGGGGTTATTAACCTCAAGGAGTTAAGGCCTGAAATAAAAGATATGGAACCAGCTAGGTCTCAAAATAATTTTTTAAAAATTCTGTGACATGCACTTAAGTTGAACCATCTCAGGTTTAGTCTGTGGTTTCTCCATAATTGTAGATGCAATTCAATCATCAGCTCATATCCCTCATCTGTTAACCTTTGATGGAGAATTTTATGCACTTCTCTGTGCTGTATTTGCCATACATAAGTGCAACAACGTAATAACTGCACGCAAGTGTTACCTACTAAGAAAAAAGGCAGCTTCTACCTGCACATACTATCTTAGCCCACTGACGTTAATCTGCCTTTCTCCTCACTGCATGTTGCAATTTTGGTCCCCAGCTGGATAAAACAACAAGGAAGTCAATCAGAAGGGCTTTGGACCAAGAGGAACACTTCCTTCCTTGGATAAGAAGTGTGGGGGAGCTGTGCCTTCTGAGTTAACGTCACAATTTGTTTTCCACTGTTGGAGCTAACCCATGTTTTTACTGGGTGGAGCTGAGAAGCACTTTATTACTGGAGATTGTATTTTCCCAAACAATTTGTTTTCCACTGTTGGAGCTAACCCATGTTTTTACTGGGTGGAGCTGAGAGCACTTTATTGCTGGAGACTGTATTTTCCCACCATTGTGTGCTAAAGCACTCATGTGCTGCTACAAAAAACCAGGAAACTGGCAAGTTGGGAATCATGGGAAAGACTTATTTGGTTTTTAGATTTAAAAATCAGCTTGAGAAACATAGAGCAAATCAGAAGAAACCATTAATTGTTTTGAGTCAACATATTTGCACCAGAGTAGAGTCTGAAAATAATCTAGCCTGAACTTAAAAATAACTAAAATAAAAAAATAGTAGCTAAGAATAAAAAGAAAAAACCCAACAAACTTAACCAAACAATATTTCAACTTGAAAAAAAAACCACATTTATTTGACTCAAAGCAATTTTATAATCTGTTTTTGGCAAGTTTGACATTTGCAAATGGAGTAAATACCTTCCTACCTACAGTAGTTTACCTAATGGTAAATGCCTGTCACAAAGCCACACAACTGACACAAACTAGAAATATTTCATATTAATTCCTAGAAGTGTCTCCAAAGTTTCCATGGTTTCCCAGCTCACAGCAAAAGGCACTGGAAGGGGAAGGCGAGATGCTCTCTGCATTCCTTACAGCTTGAGGCACCAAAGAGCACTTTAGTGGAGTTACTCCTGACGTCCTGTCTTTTAGATACAGTAGCATTTTCTGGAGACAAAATTCACTGTCCTATTATGAACTGCCTGACAAAACTAACATGTTGCTGGATGTGATACAGTGACAGCAGCAGTAGCATGGCAGACCAGGCATGTGATCTATGTTTAGATATCACTGACACCATAAAAGTATCAAGTCTTGGTAAGCCTGTGGTAAGTGTTGGGTTGAGGAGATAAAGAACTGCTTGCCTGCTGCTGAAATACAGCCTTACCTGCAAGAGAGCAGAATTCAGATGCTGGTAATGTTTAACCTCTGCCACTCCAAGCACTGCAATCACCTCTGCCCCTTTCCCAAGAGGTCAGCGAGTCAGGCCAGCACTTGGGGGAACAATTATGAACATTTCACCTGGGAGTTTTGGGATGGGGTGACTGATACTTCATAGGCATAATCCATGGTGGAAAGCTGGTGAACCTCTTTTTTGGCTATTAGCACACATTCCTGGCAGAAGGTTGCAGGGAATGATAGGAAGCTAAGGAGGTGCTGCATGCTTGTAACAGCTAAATATTTCCCCTATGGTGACTGTGTCTCTTCTTGGAGAGCAATACTGTCAAAGACTGATGTCCTTCTCCTCTGCTGTTGGCCCTCACTCCTGACAGAATTTTTCCTGTGGACAGAGACATCTTGCCTCCTGACTGAGCAGCAACACAGACCTGGAGTGCTTGTGCTTTTTGCAGCTGCTGGAACCACAGCCAAATCACATCTGCCCTTTCATGGAGGCTCTTGCTGGTGATCTTTGTTTTAGTCCAGCTGAGGCACACTTGCTCCTCTTTAACAGCCTTGGTTTAGTCCAGAGACTACAAATCACTAGAGAAACGCTGCTGCTGGGCTTGCTTGTGGCCTCAACAGCAGAATAAAGCACAGAGGGAAATATTTGCAAAATTGCTATTTTCAATTGCTTTTTCACCTCATAACTTCCTTTTCTCCCACGACATGGACAAAGAATGTTTTTTCCTGCATAAATAAAGAAATACTGCAGGACTGATCTTCCTCTACAGAGGACAAAACAAATACATCTTGTGGATAAGAGGGGAAACAGTTATGGATAGTTACTTGCTGAGTTTGCATATAGAAATGCCAGGCATGTGTTTCTGTATACAGGATATTTTTGTGCCATCTGTGTTCAATTTACTGGGCTATGGATGCTGCATGAGGGTCCTGAAAATGGGAGACACCTCTGAATGCTGGGACTCTAAACTAGTATGTGCCTGAGCTTTTACTGAAGTATGTTTGAAACCCTACATGAAAATTCCAGGGCTCTTGAAATGGTTTAGATTTGATGTTACCAACCTCTCAGTGCCCTCTGGAGAGAGTTTTTGAAGAGAACTCCAGTGGCACTCTGAAAAGTTTATTTAATTTGAACTATGCACTTCCATCCAAGGCTGAAACCTCATGTTTGAAATACTAATGGTGGTGCCTGGAGCCAGACTGATCCTCATAAGCTCATGGTAGTTCAGTCCAGATGCAACTTCAGTGTCCAAGGGCTGGCACCCTGATTTAGTGTCTTTCTCTTTGTTCTAGTGAATATTGAAAAATGCATTAAATTTTCAATGAGAGACCAGATTTGTCAGATGAATAATTCCTTTCAGTTCCAATCTTTATGCAGAAAACACTTTCAATGGCTATTTTAGTGCCACTAGCTCTGCAGAATAGTCTGTCACTACTTCAGAGAATCCGAGTGGTGAGTAAATCTCAAAAAAACATCACCTAAACCTTTTGCTGTTAGTTAGGTACCACAATAATCAAAATTATGCTCTCAAATATCTGTGGGGCCTGTGGCCTGTTTTAACACAAAATATAAAAGTGAGAGATGCTGTTTTAAGGCTGACAGAATGTAGAGTAGCTAAAAGTATGCAAGTACAAGGAAATCAAACCATTATTTTAGCAGCAGTCTAAGGCTGATTACTGCTGACCTCACAGACCACTAGGTTTTCTTTCTTCCAAATAAATATCGTATTCACAGTGGCTTTCTTAAATCATAAAATATCAAAGGCTTTTATGCTAACTCAGTCTTCTCCCTGCCCCATATTTGGGTACTGTGTCCTGAGTAGCGGTTACATGTCATCAGAAATGCTGCCTCCGTTAGATGGCTCTGCTGGGAAATCACATGACTTACAGTCACAGCAAAGTCCGACTTTAACACAGCTGCTGCCAGAGAATTGTCTGCAAACATTTCCTAGCTACAGGCATGTGAAAACTGATAAGCTGTTCTCTGGCAGCCAGGAGGAGCCGCCCTGTCCTGGGGTGCCCCCGGCACAGCATCGCCAGCCAGGCAAGGGCATTCAACTTCCTAATAAACATTTTATTAGTCTTCAGGAAGACATAAGGCTTGGAGGTCAACACAGAATTGCAATCCCCGAAGATGGCATGGTGTGATTAGAGGTGGTGGAGGGAGTGAAGGGATGGCAGCTCTGAGGTGCACTGACCTGTTTGTCAAGATCACGTGTGGCTTAGGGCCAGGCACAATTTATGTTGCCTCCAAATTCACTGCTAAAATCGTTGTTCCTGAGCTGAATTACTGGGCAAGATTCAGCCTTTTGAGAGGTTCCTTGAGAAGCCAAAGTGTTGTCTATGGAATGCTGCCCAGGAGAACTTTTATTGCTCCCTGTCACTGATCTTGACAAAGTCCATGTGAAAAGCTGGGGCTTTTAGCTGCACAGGTGTGTTGGCTGCACATCACATTTTTACACCTCCGGTATCTGTAGGATGAGTAGCACTCCCATGCTGAGCAAGTGCTCAGAGATGCCAGTGTGCCTTTGTACTCAGAGTACTGGTGTCCATCATTTTGCAATACAATTTTTAAATCAAGAGAAGGCATTCTCTCTAATGGCCTTGCAATGATAATTGACTTCATCATTATCTCAGAAGATCCAGCCGTATGAATTAGATTGCAACAACTGGCAAAGCTCAGACCCCCAACTAAATTAGAATTTCTGTATTTCTTCTTGCAATGGCAGTTTTGTAATCATAGTCTTTACAACTTGGTGGTTCTGTTGATATCCTGCAACTGTTGAGCACAAATACACTTTCTACTAAGGGACTGCAGACAGCAAGGCTACATTTAAGGGTGCTGACTCTGGCATGAAGCAGCAATTGCTCCTTGAAGGCCAAGGGGCATGAACTGGAATGAAACAGAAAATTGGATCTGTGTTCCCACCACAGCTTGTTCTATGTTAACTCAATGAACTCACATCCTGACTTTTAATGAATGATGTCAAACCTCCCTGGGTAACTCTGAGTTCAGTTTCTGTGCTGTTAGCACAGAACTGTAACTTTCTTTCTTGTTGACTACTGCTGACTCGCTGCAGTCACTTTCCCATCCACAGCAGCCTCCCTGGCTGAGGAGCATACCAAAGTTCAGGTTGCCATCTGCACCAAGAGAAGAGGGAGTCACCTGTGCCTTATTTTCCTCACCAGCTGTATAATGAACTAACATGTTGAAATGTATCTGGAATTGCACAGCAAAGGAGGAATGGGGCAGAGGGAGGTGAGGTGGGCAGGGCAGCAAGAAGTGTGGACACAGCCTGCATGATGCAGTAATGATGCATCTGTATCTGCAGCATCTGTCATTATACAGTTGAAACCAATAATTTGCTTTAAGAGTCTAGAACAGCTTGGAAATTGAATTTCACAAACAAACAACTAGATAACAATTCTGGCCTTCCAAGACCCACTTCCTGTCTCTGCTATAGGCTGATTACACAATCTTGTCAAGCAGTTTGCAAGTGGTTTTTAAAGAGTCTAGACACATGGCTCCCATCTAGGCATATATTTTCTTTCCCAGCCTCAGTTCCTCA